ACTGTGTCTTCTTTTATAAGAGTCATAGTTTTGGAGCAGTGGTAGAGCGCTCACCTAGCATAGGTGAGGCGCTGGGTTTGATTCTCAGAACCACATAAAAATTAATAAATAAGAATAAAGGCATTGTGTCCACCTACAACTAAAAAATATTTTTAAAAAAGATTCATAGATTTAAATATTTACTTTTAGGTCTTTGATTAATTTTAAATGAATGTTTCTGTGTGTTGTGAGGCAGGGATAAAACACTTGTTCATATAGTTCTACAGTCATTTGAATTGGTTGTTAATTTTCCTTTCCAAATGAATGGTTTTCCTGTCTTCGTAAAAGATCAGTTGGCTATCTAAGTTTAGGTCTATTTCTTAATTCTGACTCCTTTCTATTGATCTTTCTTCACACCTCGCTGATACCATAAATGTACACATTACTGTAGTTTTAGGGATCTTAAAGTCAAATGGGATAAATCTCCTGTTTTTCCCCAAGATTATTGGTGTTTTAGATCTTCACATGTCCATATTGATTTTAAAAACAGCTTTCCCTGTTCTTTTCCAGAACTTTGTAGCATTATTATGATTGGGACTGTATTAAATCTCTCATTTAATGGGGTGGGGATGCAGGGATGGATCTCTTAAAAGTACTGAGTCTTCCAATTCTGAACATTGTATCTCTCTGTTTCTTTAGATTTTCTTTAGTTTCTTTAAGTAATGCTTTATAGTTTCCAGTTATAGGCTTTAGTCCTAAATGGCTGGTGTATTTTGATGCTTTTTAAATTGGGATTTTTAAAAGTCAATTATTCATTTTGCTCACCCTTTCTGTGACTCCCTTCTTGCTGCTCTGCCGGCCCGGGTTCTAACCTCTTACATCTCGGATTAGCAAGGCTGCTGCTTTCTGCCTGCTCCCCTCCCAGACTGGATAATGTCCTCCAAAGAAAACCCAGGCACTCCCACTTATTCATCACAGTCCATGTCACAAGAGTGGATGTCCTTCTTAGTCACTGCTTGCTGTAGGCACTTTTCAGTCCTTAGAGATGGCTTTAAAATTTTGTCCTGGTTTTATCATTGTTACCTGAAGAAAGATGAGTCCAATCAAGCTATTTCACTGTTTTTCAAATCTCTGTGCTATTTTATGAACAAATCTGTGTCCTCTGCAAATGGAAGAGGCCTGTGGAGCTGAGAGCTCCTTTCAAGTCACTAACAGCCAGA